CCACCCTAGGCTTATACTCGAGTCAATAACTTTTCCAGTTTTTTGTGGTAAAATTAGGTGCCTCGGCTTATATTCGGGTCAGCCTATACTTGAGTGCCATAGTCTGAAAATGGACTGGATCTGATTTCAATGCAGTCCCAGGAAAAAAAATCCCTTCTTCACTCTAAGTCCCTCCTTCCTCTCTCCTGATCCTGTGGCCTAATATGGAGCTGCTATTAAAGGATTGGAAAGAATCCCCAAAGCCACACTATGCACGGTCTCTCTAATTTATCAGTGATCATAAATTCCTTTAATAATGCAGTATTTAAAAGCAATCACTTAAAATATAAAACTACTGACAGCCACAGGAAATTTACAACAGAAAGCAAAATAATGATAATAATCTAGGCCACAAACATTATTTAGAAGCCACATCTCAACTGCTCACGAAAACGCCAGCAGTGAGGTAGTCATACAGGCTTCCCACAGTAGATGTTCTACAATTTAGGAACCACTTGAAGTTCTTTATTAAAATCCCACTGTGAAATCTTCATTTCTTCATCAAATTGCAAATGCAAAGCTTCCACTTCCTACTGGGCTAATTTGATCTCAGAATGTTGTTAATTACTCCAGCTTTCCCATACCTGGTACTCTTGGATATTTTGGACTATTTGGTTAATCCCAAACTATAATGGTTGGGGATTATAATCACTGTAGCCCAAAACATCTAGTTCAGGAACCAGTTATTTATTCCATGTTGCTTTATTCATTACTATAAAACTTTCTATTTAAATAAACAGTGATTCTGCTCTTTAAAATTGGGGATAGGGTGTGTTCCAAGGGAGAAATTCTAGGATCAACATTATAGAACCAAAATAAAAAAGGAGTTAATTAGAATGCACTTGCATTGATAAATGAGTATGGCAAAAGTCAGTGCTGACTCTTAGTAATCACATAGGGAAGCCTTCTCCAGGCTGATCTGTCCCCATCCTGGCCCTTCAGATCTCTCAAAAGTATATCCATTGCTGCTGTAATTGAGTCCATCCACTTTGCTGCTAATCATTTTCTTTTTCTTTCTACCTTTCCCAGCATTTTAGACTTCCGAAGAGTTCTGGATTTTTGTATAATGGGTCCAAAATGTGATGAACTATCAGATTAGTATCCTCAATTTAGCACTGACAATTCATGGTGAAGGGGGCGGGGTTTCAGGAGGCAAAAAAATGCTGTATTCAGTGTATAAGACGCACCCAGATTCTCAGCCTCTGTTTTTGAGGCAAAAAGGTACGTCGTATACTCCGAAAAATATGGTAATCTACTGTATATGGTTGAATAAAAGAATAATTCTCACATAAGAGACATTTCTGCTCTGAGGAATGGGGAAAACTTTGGTTTGTCCCTTTATGGTAAGTTTATACATAAAAAGCAGAGGATTGGGCGAGCCAGTAGTAGCGGTGGCAGGAGGCTCCGCCCAGCCACCTGGACACTTCTGTGCATGTGCAGAAGCGGCGTGCCCACCAAAAGTAATAGTAAAAAAAAATGGCAACCCACCACTGATGCAAAGATAATACGTCACTGGAGAAAAATTGTTTACAATTGCCATGAGTAAAAATTATCCAGATTGTATTTGAATGGCACTTTATACAGTATTTAATCACAATGAATTTGTACATACAAGTATGAGTAAAGGACTAATGTGTAATTATAAACAATATATATTTATGTAGACTTCGCTCTCTGTGCCAAGGTTATGTTCTCTGAAAGCATATTCATATAAATCGAGAGACTAAAATGGGTATTGTAGGGTATTGTGATAAATGCGCTCATAAATGTTTAGAGCTTTATTCTTAATCACTGTATCATTCAAACACATTCTTTCTTTGTTTCCTGTTCTATGTACAGTGAAAGCATTTTTGTATGTATATTTACAATTGGATTTCTAACATGTACAATTATCCTGACAGACAAAGAGGAAATATGTATGGTTGCGTGATTCTTGCTTATTTTAATTATTTGTATTCTGTTTTATGTTCCCCCTTTTCCCTTTTTGAATTGTTCGCCGCCCTGAGTCCTTCCGAGAGAAGGGCGGCATACAAAAAATAAAATAAAATTTAATTCAATTCAATATGGCAAACTTTATTAGGATTCTTCATTGTGTTGCACACAGTAGACTCAATCCGGTGAAAAGTTTGTTCTAGGACCCAGTTTTGACAAGGACCATGTTTTTACCAAACATTGAAAAGCAGCGTCCAAATGGAGATTTGTAACATTTCTAAACTGCTAAAGTTATTCAATTTAAGATGACTTAATGAAATGAATGGAGTTTCTTTCTCCAGAATGAATATGAGGAAATGCTATGAACAAATACAATAGAACTTTGTGAATATTGTCAGGATGAGTGTAGACAGACCTAGAATTTTTTATTAATATTTTATTCATGTTGCTTTTTCTTCCTTATAGTGGCAGAGCATTACTGTAACTCTGGTTGAGAAGGTGCAGATGATTGCTGTAATTTTGGGGTCGTTATTCTTAGTGGCAAGTGTAACTTGGCTTCTGTGGTCAGCCTTCAGTCCCTATGCTGTATGGCAAAGAAAAGATCTCCTTTTTCAAATCTGCTATGCAATGTATGGTTTTATGGATCTAGTGTGCATAGGTAAGTTAAAAAAGTAATATTGTCATTCATTTTGATAAATGTGGTGTGATATAATTTGAGACTATGCTTTTGTATATCTGATCTACATACATGGTAGTTTCTAGAAAAAATAAAATGTATGTGAATATTGTCACTTTTAGATATAACAAGAATTTTAAAGATGCAATAATTCAGATAAACAGTATTAAAAAGTTGCCTCATAATTACGCTTACCCACAATACCCATAGAAAGATCCACAATACTCTCAAGTTAAATGAAATTACAACAGCCTTCAAGAATATCAGGGGCAATCATTCAGAGGATCATAGGTCACATACTTCTATAACTACCTGAAATTTAGTTTCTGAAAGTTGGTAGCAAATTGTGAACATTTCAAAAGAGCCAGGTTTGGTTTAGTGGTTAAGGCTAAAAACCAGGAACTAGTAACTTCTAGTCCTCTCTTAGGGATGAAAATTAGCTGGATGACTTTGGCCTCTCATTCTTTCTTAGCCAAACTCACTTCATGGGAAAGTTGTGGGGTAAATAGGAACAAACAGGAATATTTGATATATTCACTGCCTTGATATATTTATAAAAATAATAAAGGTGAAATTTAAAAACTCTTAAAAATCACTAAAAACTAATATTATCTACAGTGTGAATTCACAAAAATTACATATTAATATCGTTACAAATAGGAAAGGGCCCAAAACCGTAAAAGAAGAAAGACTGGATCAAAATTTGACTTCACCTTTATAGTCATGCCACTATATCACTACCTTATTTATTCTTTTGACAAAGAACTCCATTATATTATTAATAGCAATAGCAGTTAGACTTATATACCGCTTCATAGGGCTTTCAGCCCTCTCTAAGCGGTTTACAGAGTCAGCATATTGCCCCCAC